CTTTCTGCTGGGTCTGGCCTGCAGAAAATAGACGTCTCTTCCTCTCTTTCAATTCTCCTCGCAGTAAGGCTGTGAAACAAATTGGCCCTGTACTTAAGGAGAAAAAGAGTCATCACATCACTATTGATGAGCTGATTAGAAGCTGCAGTGGGCCCAACTTACTATCCTATTGATGATACCCTTCTGTAGAGTAATATTGCCATTTGTCTGAAGTGCTTTCAGACAGTCGCCAACCAGCAATTTTACAGCTTTACAAAAGTTATGCAAGAGAAAAGTGGCAGTACTTTGATGGGGTAAGAAAGGGATGTGCAGAACCCTCCTCCCACCTCCTGGTGTTATAAACACCATATAGTTGAACTTGTATTTTTAAGTTTGGAAGGTGCAACTTGGAACCCCAAATTAAATGGTATACTGTACTCCCCCCCCCAAGCTAGCAATGCTGTCATTATCTGCTTAATTGCTGCCTGCTCTGCTCCATAACACTTCCCAAAAGCTGATTTGTTTGTCAGACTTAAAAAAAATAAATCACTAGTTTACAAGCAGGGCTTTTTCATTTAAGGCAAATTTAATAATCTCTGTCTTTCTCCTGCTTCTGAATTTCTTCTGGCAAATAGAAATGTAGCATTTCACTCATGGGTCACAAGGTTTGTTGTGCTTCGTTACATTATTTGTTCAATCATGCAAAGCCACAAATAGCTCTTTATTGGTAGCTTGAGCTTTCCTAAAGCTATTCAATTCATAAGATTTCGTGGGGAACAATCCAAAGCCAAGTTTGCCCAGGATGATTGGGCAAGTTTGTGTTTGGAATAGGCAGATCTATGTCTGAGTCAGGTGAGTCTCCCATTCTGGTTCAGCTGGAGGTGCACAGGTGTAAGTGCCCTTTGTTGTTTAGTTGTTTAGTCGTGTCCGACTCTTCGTGACCCCATGGACCAGAGCACTCCAGGCACTCCTGTCTTCCACTGCCTCCCGCAGTTTGGTCAGACTCATGCTGGTAGCTTCGAGAACAGGTAGCACAGGTGTAAGTGCCCTATCCTGGCTCAACTGGGGCTCAGCCAGCTCAGCAGAAGCCAGCTCAGCCAAGGCTGGATTAGGTCCCCCGAAGGTCTTTGGGGTGTGGTGGGGGGCGTGGCATGGTAGGCCAGGCAGTGGAGACTTACCCCTCTTCTAAACTCCTTTCCACTTTGTCACAGTGGCCAACTAGATGCCCCTGGGAAGCACGCAAGCAGAACATGATGAGTGCAATAGCACCCTGCCCACCTGTGATTCACAGCAGCTGGTATTCAGAAGCATGCTGTATCAGAATCGACCTGATGAGAAAGCCCTTTGCCTGCATCTTAAATACATCTTTATACACGTGCCCCACAGTTATGGAAGAAGGAATGGATTCTCAAAGCACAATTTCAGCCCATGTGTTCTTCTCATTTGGCTTGCTGACTTTGTACAACTTTTCCAGCCTTGACCTTCTCGTCTGATATTTCTTCTCAAAGCAGTTCTGCGCACTTCTGCAAATGTTAGATTGACATTTGGAGCAGGCTTCAGGAGGAGCTCTAATGCTCCCTTTTGGCTCCCTCATGTGCCTGCCAAGATTCAGCAAGGCTACAGTCTCCTGCTCCCCACGTCTCTGGGCTAGTAGTAACATTTACCAGCAACCGTTTCCTCCATCTGCAAATGTTTCCACAGCCTTTCCTAATGTTCTTGAACCTTCCTTTCTGGTCTGCTTCCCCCCACCTGCCCCCATGAGCACAGCCCTGAAAGGAATAATGCCAAGTTCTAACAATTTAATAAGATTCCCCTTTTGCTGTAGATATAGGGATTTTAGAAAAAATAGATAGTTTAATATCTAAAAAAGGAACACCATATTTTGTCCCAAGGCAGGTTTACAAGTGCTAATGCTGTTCTTACTAGTTAGAGCTACTGAATCTTACAGGGTTTTGACTTTAAGGTCAAGCCAATGAGGATAATGGTAGACTTGCAAAAATTCAGGGGATGCATTTATATAAATTCTTCCTTCCTTTTGTCTTCTTTTCTATGCTCTTTTTATGAAAACAGACAGCCACCAGCCATAACTGTTAAACAGAAGCACATGAAGAGACTCAGTTTATCTTTTTACTCAAAGTTCCATGAGACTCTGCCCAAAACCACTGATTTCTACAGATGAGGGAGATGCTAAACACTTCTACAGATGCTCCTTCTGCCATTCAGCCAATTCAGCTTTAGTCAGCCCTACAGAGGTTGGACTACAACATGGGCACCACGTTAAAATAGGAAAGAAAGAAAGAAAGAAAGGATTTGGGTCCTCTTATTGCCGATTAATCCCCATGCTCACTGGCACCACATGCACTGATACTTGCCAGCTCTACACACATGCCCAGACAGTGGCACAGACAGTTTCAGGCAGGGCACATTCGAGCTGAAGGTGTCAAAAAGAGCCATTTCATGCTTGACTTCACTTCCTAATACAGTCCACAGCAAGAGCAGGGAGGTGTGCGTGACTGTGTTTCTTTACATGCAGCCAGTAAGTGTGTGTATAATATAGAGTACATTTTGTTCTACTAGCAGCTGGAAGCGGCAGTATTGGGAGTGCAGAAGTGAAAGCGATTGGAATTGCATTTAGCATGCCGTGCTTTGCTTCTCTGCAGCACCTTGTGAAAAGGGAGCACAGCTTTTCTTCTGTGACCCACAGCTGGTTTGCACTCATGGCAAATGGTGTGTAGGTGAAGAGGAGCAATAGTTTGTCTGCATCTGAGGAGGCTGCTGCGTCTGCAGCCTTACTTTACACATCAGTTCAATTGGCTGCAATTCAGTTCAGTTCACATTTTAAAACAAAGCTACCTAACCCACATGTTCCTGTACAATACATGAATCAAAACACAGCCATCCTTCCAAATTTTCACTTCTCTGAATTTTGCAATGCAGTTCTCCAACCAGGTACAGACATGCATATATTTTGATAAAGTGTTCATAAAAATGAATATATAAGAAAAAATAACATATCAACATGGATTTATTTAGGGAACACTGCTTTGCACAGATGTGTATGTTTGGCAAAACTGCATACAAAATTGTGTAAATTAGGAGAAATTCACATTGAAATGCTGGCAAATTTTCATGAGGATTTCTTTTTTAAACTGCGAACTAATGTGGAAATATAGAGAATTGCACTTTAGTTTTGAATAATGAGAAACTAAGAGAAACTAAAAGTGATAGGCAATATGTTTGGCGACTAGAATTTTGATGACTGTATGTAAGTGTAAGCAAATCACTATAGTGCTGATATACATACTTACAATTGCAGGCATGCCTCAGCCGGTACCCACACAGCTGTTTGTTTATGTTGCAAATCTTTGTGTTAATGCTAAGAAAGACGGGGACAGAGCTTATTCAATATGTATGCATCATCTCAGTATTCAGGGTGTGGGTGCAATTACTCCATGCGATAACACATACCTTAGTGAATTTGACCAAAAGCAGGTGCTAGTCAACTTGGAGATCAGTGTGTGTGTGGGGGGGGGGTTGTCCCACTTTTAAAGGGGTACCCTCAAAACAACTCATAATGTTTATAATTTATTTTTAATGCCTTGTATTTTCAATTTTATTTGTAATATAATATTTCAAATGCTCCATATTTTTTATAAAATGTAGAGCTACATTTTTTAAAACCAACCAACCCATGCACATAAACCAAAACTATCCAGAACCGGGGCAATACAAGCTCCAAGCATCATTATCACCTCCCTCCTCCTCTCTCTAGGAATTTGTCCTACAGGGCAGCTGATGATGGATGTGGCCCTGCAGCAGAGTAGGGAACAGTGCAGATGGAGCAGGAACATGTTCCTAGGCTTGTCTTCCACTGCCTCTCTCTCTCCTGGATTTCTTTCTGCAGGACAGTTGGTAGTATGTGACCCAGAGAGAGGGGGGCAGTTCACTTGGCTCCAGAGTAGGCACTTAATGTTGTCTTAACCTGCCACTGTATCTCTCCTGGATGCCTTCACACAGAGCAGTTGGCAGCAGATGGCCACAAGTGGAAGGGAAATGTCCTGCTGGAGCAGAAGTATATATCAACAGTCAATTGAGTGTCTTCACACCTTAAGTAATCTCTATTACCTTTAGTTAGCAAACCTTTCCACTGGAAAACTAGTGATTGTTAGGTCTAGGTTATGTGTGCTACCTGTCCTATGATGCACATGGCATCATGGGTTAATTTGTCTCAACTTCCTGTCCTCACACGAAGCATGAGAATAATGAGATGTTTCATCTGAATTTTAACTTCCCTTCACTCCAAAGCTCATGGAAGTAACATTTTTTTAAATAAATAAAACAACAACATCACTTTAAGATATTTTTCAAAGAACCATCCATGAGACAAGTGAACTGTCTAGTAAATCGGATTTGTAGTTGAGTTCCTATTGAGGATATTTGGCGAGTCAACATGACCGTGGTGAGGGATTTAGGATTGGAGTGATCATTCTGTGATATTATGGCAGTGGACAAAGCTCTATTGTAATTTTTGAGTAAATGTGTTAGAAGATGAAGAAGAAGAACCATCCACTATAGCAATCTTCTGTTCAAATACTGCTACAAAATGGTTTCCTATCCCTCCCCCAAAAACCCCACCCCTACACTCCTTTTTCCTTTCCATATTAATTAAGCCATTACTATTGATCAACTGCAGATATTAGCTTGAGTTGTAGGAAAGCAGATCTTTAACACCTGAGGCAGGTAGAATGGGTAGCATATGCTATATTGGAACCAATTTGTGGAGAAAATGGAAGCTTCATTGCTAGCACTGATCTAGCCTCCATGTTGTTTTTGGTGTGCAACACGATAAGCTCAACACAACAATACTTCCTATTAAAAATCTCATGGCTGCTAGCCTATAGCAATGCATAGTGAAGCAATTTATCTGCAGTGTGTTCTAAGTACTGAGGGATCATTCAAGATCTGGAGGGCACAGAACTGATAGCGATTAATTTTTATTTTCCTTTTCTTTGTTTTTTCAGAGGCATCGATTCTGAGTTATGATGGCAGCATGTACATGAAGATCATTATGCCGATGGTCATGCACACAGAGGCAGAGGATGTGTCCTTCCGCTTTATGTCTCAGCGGGCTTACGGGCTCCTGATGGCCACCACATCCCGTGATTCAGCCGATACCTTGCGGCTAGAGCTGGATGGAGGCCGTGTCAAACTCATGGTCAATCTAGGTATTGTACAGAGATTGCCCCCCTCCACCTCCGGCTTTCAGTTTTGAGCTTGTTTTGTTTTCTTGTCCGTCTCCCCCTTCCCTGCTCCCCCACCCCCGTTTGGTTTAACTGAATTATAAGTAGTCGCTGATGTATTCTGTAACAGTATTAATGATGGAGAAATAAATTCTCCAGTGACCATTGCATGGTGATTTTATGTTAATTCCTGGTTATGGGTAATGTGATTTTTAAGTCTGGTTTTTGTTTTTTAAGTTTCCTTTCTTGTTCCTGAACTGGTTAGCTTTATGTAAGACATGCTATTCAGTCCATCTTTTGATCAATCACATCCTCATTTGATCCAGCCTCTCTATTACTATTCAAAACAGTCAAAAGTGTTTGACAAAAAATGACAAAGGCATAAAGGGAAGGGTCTATATAGCTACAGTGTTTTTAAGAAGCCAGTGTTTTATATTTCAAGCATTCCTCTTATCGTCCAATGACTTTTAGGTTCATATAGGAAGTAGGGTTGTTAATTTTCAGGACTTATGCTACCAAATATTGTACAACATTTTTTAAAAAATAAGCTGACAACTAGGGAATGAATACGTGCTAATTAAATGGAGGAATATATTCAGAGAGATTGCCTGCCACCCACCTACCCAAGGCAAGGTATGCATGTAAACAATTTTAGATAAGGAACTTATTTGGATTGCAGAACAGGGGGATGTTAATCCTTTCCCCTAATATGTGCATGCTTGTATTAAATTGCATTAGAATGATTTGTAGCACCTTTTTACATCCAGCCCCCAAAACAATGAACAATATACTGTGTTTGCTCATAAAAAAAATACCCCCAGTCCCCAAACAATACAAGGAGCACAGGAGACGTGGGCCACCTCTGTTCACTCCTCTAGGCTCAAAGGCCCCCTGTTCCTTCAGTGTCATCCACTCTAAAGCACTGAAAGGAAAATTTCAGTATGTTGCTGCTTTCTCCTCTGACACTGCTGTAACCAGGCAACCTCTGTGCCCTTTTCTCAGTCCATTCGCTGATGATATTTCATATTCATATAAAGTGTTTTCTAGAAATCAAAAAGCTTTGTTTTTGTTTCCCAGAAAACAAATGCCTTCATTTTCTGCCATTGGCAGAAGGTAGCAATTATTAAGAGATGGAGGGCCTGGCATAGGCAATATTCTTTCCTCTGTCACTAATGGAAAGTGAAAATGCTTACATCTTGTTGATTATACTTGCCTGCCTCAAAGAGAAGTCACAAGCCATAGCTGTGGATGTTGCTGCTGCATGCTCTGAGGGCCTCACTTGAGAGGCTGTCTTAAAACCCCAGATGTTACTATGTTCATAACCACTATAAGCTTTTCTGTTGATCAGCTCATAGCTTGGCAAATGTGATATTGTGTGAGGTCACCATTGCTCATAAAAGGAAACCCAGCCTCACAATGCAACTGACTGAGATGCCAGTGCTTAACCTTCAGTCCTCCTCTCAGGACTTCCCTAACAATTTCACAAGCTCATGAATGTATACAAGTTGTTTGAGAGTAGTCTTACATGATCTTACTCATCTAAAAAAGCTTCAGACATAATGGAAATTTGCAGGGGGGAGGGTTAGGAACAGGAGTTGGTAGTGGATGCACACATATTTATTTCAGCATTTCTCATTCAACATGGTTGGAGATGGTCTCAATGTAGGAATGTGTTGTGCAGACTTTAGTTAAGATTTCATGTTAAAATGCACTGCATGAAAAATCCTAAGGGAGACTTCTGTCTGAAGTTTAGTGGATAAAGAAGCTCTAATAAGCCAAAACTTCAGGTCTCTTTTCTTACCTGCTATAACTGCAGCATCACTCTAGCTTTGCTGCAGAAAAGGAGCTTCAGTCTAGCAGGACTCTGAAGGTGACTTCCAGAGCATTAGCTCAATTATGCAGTAGTGAAGATCTGCAAAGGTTTCAGATATCAATTGGGTTCTGAAACAAATACTCCTCCATAATAAATAGCCAAAAATACAGTAGATTTGAAGACACAAGTAAAATATTAGACCTAGAAAAGAACAGAGTTTACTATCTCAGGTAGTTCAAACACCAATACTTTGGATTATAGTTCTTTGGACCATTATGATGTAATTATGATGTAGAGAGTTCTGAGAAGTTTTTGAGTCAGGATGCCATTGAACTATAGCTCCTATCATCCCAGACCATTGGCCGTACTGGCTGGGATGGACGGGAGTTGGAAGTCCAGCAAAATCTGAAGAGCCACAACAGGTTCTACATCATAGATGTAGCCTTGCTCATAATTAACAGATGGTCAAAAACTAGAAGTAAGTAAAAAAAAACCAATCTGGAAATCACATAGCTGGAATATGAATAATCTGATGTGCCATAAATACATATTGGCAAAGACTGTTTTGAATGGTATAAAATATTCTTGTGCTTGCTCCCCGTCCCCCTCACATTTTAATTCCATTTGGTTTCTCTCAAAAGGTTGTCTGTTTATTAAGGTCTTTTCTGTGATCTCTTTATGCTGTGTATCCAAGTCGTAAAAGCTTCTTTACACCCCATCCGTCATGGTATATCAAAAGATGGTATTCAACCCTTCAAAGGCCTGAAGCCTGCGGCCCGCACAGCAAACAGCCCTTCGAACAGAGTGTACAGAGCAGCCTGCAAGGGCTGGCATATCCTTCTCACCTGCACCACACCTTTGAGCAAAAACAAAAACAGAGAGGAAGGTTAGGTTGATTTGGAGGAGAGGGGGTAAGAGTCTCTTGTATCTATATGTTGCTTACTTAAGGAGTAGTTAGACTTTCCCAAAATGGGAGCTTTGGGCAGCATTCTTTCTGTCTTAACAACACACCTCACAACATATTGGACCCTTGACTGTGTAAAGAGTAGATAACCAAATATGAGAGATCTCACTTCTCTGTTGAGAAAGAAGAGGAGGAGGAGGAGGAGACGGGAGGGAGGAGGTGAAGAAGGAGGGGAGGAGAGAAAGAGAGAGACTTCAGTGAGCCACATGCCCCAGAATTAACCCTGCAGGTTAAAGCATGTGCTGAGAGAATGAGGAATGGCCGCTTGTGAAGAAAAAGCCACCTTCATATTCAGCATTCTGGTTTGGTTGACTGGCACTGCAGTACTGCCACAGGCCCATGTTTTAAGATCATTCAACTTCTCCATCCCTCCTCCCATACTTTCCCTCCTGCTGGACTGCGGTCAAGCTTCTGCCATGGGGCAGGACCTATGGCCAGCTTGTCTTGACTCAGACTCCTTCAGGGAAGTGTGGTCAGTCATCTCCACCTCCCAATCTCACACTGTGCTAAGCACCATCCTTTTGAGCAATACTAGTGACACCTTGGATTTGACAGCCATTCATTTATGTTTCTTTCATATATATATATATCTCCAAGCTTGATTGATTCATGGGCCAGCTATCTTCTCTGCTGAAGCACTATGATGTATGTTCCTTCATTTCCCCAAAGGAAGTCTTGTGTGGCTACTTATTATAAAAATTATAATAGAATTGATAACATTTGTAATATCAAAATTTTTGCTGACATCCATCTCTTAATTTGTGTATGCCGCCACCTCCCTCTGCGCTGTCACTTTTGCTAATAGCACACCTTGATAGGTATAATCTCAGTTGTATAAACCTAACAGAGATGTTTTATAAGTCAGAGCAAACAATGGAAATTGCAATTCAGAATGACCAGAGAATCCCAAAGAATGGAAGGGAAAGTAGTGCTTGCTCCATTTTGCAGACAATCAGGAATGACAGCTAGGGACAGAATGTCAGACTTAAACAAATAAACCTGTTCATAATACCCAAAAGAGGTAGGAAAAGGCTGATAATAACAGAACAGTTGGTGAGGGAATCCTAAGCAGTTTCTGCAACTTCAATCAAGTTCCTTAAATGGAATTAATGTGTTATCAGCCTATTCTTTTTACTCCAGTTTAAAACCCATTTTTAATAACCGTAACATTGGCTTAGTTCAGGCATCATGTTAAACCATAGTTTAGCATGATGAAAACAAAGGTGGCCTCAGGGTGTTGTATTCTCCCTGCCCCCACTTCCTGCACAGGCATGAAGAAGAGTTTGGAAGTTTCCGCTTCAATTTTAGATCAACTCTAGCTTCTCATCTTGTCCAAACCTAGCAAAATGTGGTTAATTATGGTTTATGTGAAACAGGCCAGCTTCAGACTATGGTTTCTGAACGTGAATTGTTTTAACGAACCATAGCTGAATTGTTTTAACCATAGTTAAGATTAACAACAGTTAGGATTCAGGTGTTAAACTGCTAAACTGTGTATACAAGCCTAAGGCTTTCCCAAATTCATTCTTACCGCACTAAAGTTTTATTTAGCTGGATGTCCAAGCACAGCCATTTGAGCTCAGAGATAATCTCTCTCTCTCCTTCCCATCCTCCTCCTCTCCCCCAGCTTTGGGAAGATTTTTGTTTATAGAAGCAGCTTTTATCTATGTTGATATCTCACGCCACCAGCACACATCTGCAAAAGGGATATAGCCACCTCTGTGTGGTGATCGTACCAAATGCTCAAGGACTGTTTGCTCCCACTTTTCTGTTGCGGTTGACGACACATGACAAACCTAATCGCACGAAACCAAACCCATATTTTCTTACGAGAAGTTCTGCTGGGAAACAGACTCTCTACAGCTTCACTGCTCCTGATTGGTTTATTCCTGATCACTCAGATTCCTTGTCATCTTTTCCTCCCACCTTTTTCCAAAATAAAAAATAAAAAATACATTTTTTTCCTCATTAATATGAAGGACTGTCCTTTTCATTGGGTATTAAGTTGTTCCCCTAACCACAGAGTAGGTAACACCATCCACTCTATTTCATGCGTTCTTGAAACATACAACATCCTCCACTGTCCAAGTTTCTGGCTATCCAACATTATATATACATACCACACATAACATGATATAGTCTGGATTGCTGGGACTGTGAAACTGTGGCTCGTGACCTTAAGAATTAAGAGCCCTCCAGTCAAATTCACTATCTGTCCTGCATCCTGTTTTTTTTTATTAATATAGCCTACATTTTAACGCATTTCCTGCAAAACCAGCTTCAATTTGAATTCAGAAAAAGAGTGACCTAGCTGCAGTTTAAGCTGCTCATGTGTACACAGCCTTTGGGATACTTTACCAAAAGCAAAACATGTTTTCAGGATTACCTTGGTTCTTTTTCCTTCTTTGTTTTTATCCATTTGTACTATCTGAAACATCTGAGTGAAGCATATAGAGTTGGCAAAGATGACCAGACCTGCCTCTGCACTGCCTATTTCACCTTCTTCCTGAATGTTGTAGGTGCATCATTCAGTCCTAACATTCAGACAGAAAGGTGAGACAGGGCTCTGAAGAACTGGCTGGCTGGCTGTCTTTGTAGCAACTGCCCCCCACCCCAAATCAAAAATACCCCAATCCTCCAAACTGAACTGAAATCTGGGCTGGGCGTTCGTGCGGTTAGCTGTTTGCAAGTGGCCATTTTATGACAGGGAACAAGGGGCAGTATGTTAACCCTTTCCTCATCTTGGAGAACAGTGATGACACACATTTTTTTTTCTCCCAAAGAATTTTGGGTTATTGCAAAAGGAACAGACCTGTTCTTAGCAGTGGTGGAAAGGGTTAAGTATTGCACCAGCAGATTTTTCCAAGCCAGAACTCTAGGTATACTGTCGGGTAGGTGTTGTATTTATGCAGTGACACATGGGTAATTGAAAAAAAGCAGTGTAAAGGTTGCCCTTCTTAAAAGAATCCTAGAAGGTTTTAAAAATATATATATATATTTATGTATATGTAATGGGGGAAAGATTGGCATTTTGAAGGAGAATATATGTTCCTAAGTGACATACCAGCTATTTTTAATTAGCAGTTATTGATTAGAATCACTAGATAATATTCAATGCACTCTTTTCCCGACTTGCCACATAGTGGTATATAGTATATATTTTTCTTTCTCTCTCTCTCTTTTTTTCTGTTCTGTTCTTTTTTCTTTTCTTTTGCACATACATACACTCATATGCACAGAGACATACACACAGTTCTGGGTTAGATACATGGTTCTGATATTTCTGTAGAATATACTGTAGCTATGCAGCCGTTCCTAAGTTTGTACAGAATGTATATAAATATAAAATGGCCACATCTCTTTGCGTGTGTCTGTCCCCGGAAGGGTGGACTGATTGTTTTTGGATGTCTGCAGCTGTTACCTTGAAGGATGCAATTTCATCTTTCATTTATTTTTCCCCATCTAGACTGTATCAGGATAAACTGTAACGCCAGTAAGTTTCCCCTCAAGTTTCATTTTGTTCTCTCTCTCTCTATAAATATATATTTAAAAGAAATTAACATTCTTTCCATTGCTATTTTAGAAACTGTTTCTTCTTTTCAGTTCGCTTTAAGAAAATGCTTTGGGATTTTGTAGATTTTGAAGCTTGGGGAGGATTTGAGACGGCTCTATATATGAATGTAATGTGTGTGAAAGATTTCTCCAGGGACAAATGAAATGTTATATTTCCCAGCTTCACAGACGAGCATCCAGGGAATGGGAAGAACTGAAAATGTATTTCAGTAGCTTTCCACTTTCATGGGGAAATATCCTTAGAGGCAGTTTTAATAACAGGTACTGTATGCACTTCTCCACTACAACAATTTTGTTTTATTGTGACAATAAATAAAGAAGTAGTTTGGGCCACAACTGTGACTGCATTGTCTGATATTTCATTGGTATCCATTCTTTGAGCGGGGTTATACATTAAAGAACAAATTATGTTCTTGAATGGGGAAGAGTTTATAAATACTCAGATTGATCACCCTACCATCTTGATTGTCATGCCTCTCCTGAATAGTGAGCCTTTCCCAACCAGATGCCCTCACAATGTTGCTAGACTATAGCTTCCATCAGCCCCAGCCAGCATGAGCAATGGTCAGAGATGATGGGAGCAATGCTGATGCTTAGAGCAACCCTCAGTTCCCCAAAGCAATAGCCCCAAACACCCAAAACCTAGTACTTTCTCTAGATAAATTAAAACTGCAAAAACCACAAAGTTTTCCAGATCTGCTACTTTGTTGTGACAGATGCTTGATATTTTTGTTTGCAACAGAAACATGAATACTTAGCTAGGATGCATAGAGCAATGCTTCCTTGTTTCCCTTCACACATCTTCTTGACAGTGGATATGGGGATTCCTCCTGTTCCTGTGCCTCTTATGTGAGGCCAGAATAAGAGTAAGAAAGATATGCAGTGGTAGCACCTTCATATCTCTTGGTATACCTAGTAGCTTCACCTTGACTTTTCCCCCCAAGGAGAATGCTCAGTTGGTTGAAGTTGGCTGTAAATGGTTTGCAGCCTATGCATCTAAGAAGGTCCACGTCCTCTCCATTACTCCTTACACTGTGCTTGAAAGCATGTCATGTGAGGAACTTTACTATGGCTGTCATCCCATCCTACTTTACCATTCACAGAAAATGTTTCAGTTAGATCCCCAGCTGCCATGATTCTGTTAGTGTGTAACAAGGGACTGCTAAGAGTAGGAAACAAAGCTTTCTTCCCTCCCAAAGAAACCCCCGCATCTCTGTCACTTAATAGGAAAAGGTCAAGGAGAGAAACAGGGAATCTATGGAGAGACTATCAGATTTTTTTCTCCAACTGGAAAAATATTCATTGTTATCAAATGTTTTTTGTGCAAGTTTCCTCCTGAGCACCAGCATTCGATTAAGTAATTTTGCTTTCATGAATGCTTAATTACATGGGCTTTTACATATTTATTATTTTAATACATTTCCCCTTCAAATATTCTTACACACACACACACACACACACACACACACACACTTTATAAACAAGTTTGGACTGGGCTTTTATGAAGAATAATAATAATTTTAAAATATCCACTCATATACTTTATAATAAGAATAAGAATGCTACCACTCATAGGATCTAGCTATTCAGAACCCTAAACATACTTGTTCCCAACTGGGATGGCCTAGTCCAACTGCTTCTTTCCATTATTCAACAGAAGCATAATTAAATGAAGGAGGACAAAGGCGTGGAAAGTAATGATAGTTTGAGAACTCTATGCTAGCTACAGAACCCCAGGGATTACCCCTGTGCATATATTCAGTTTCTTTCTTTTCCTCTACCTTTTAAAAATATATATATAGAATGTGAGGAGAAAATAGCCAAAGATGCAGGTTTTGGGTTTTTTTTTGGTTTTTTTACACTGATGTGCACATTTTGGAGTAATCTTGGAGAGCTTTGTTGGTTACATGTAGCTGGGAACATAGATCATTATGATTTTGATCAGGGAGGGAATAACCTGTCTAGTTCAGTTCTTTCAGTTTCTCATTTTCCCAATACTCATGAAAATTCATCAGCATTTTAGTGTGAATTTTTCCTAATAAACACAGTTCATATGCAATTGTGACAAATACACTCATTTTTGCAAGCATGTGCCCATTGATTTAATTTCACCAATATGTTCATTTTTATGCACATCTTTCCCCAGCAGATGCATTTTTGTACCATTATTTGGTTGGCAAACTGCATAGCAAAATTCAAATATGTCTGAATTTCAAAGGATATCTGTATTTTGGTTTGCAATCCCCCCCCCCACAAGAAAGGAGAGATTTGATAGACTGGGCTTCAAATAAAACCTGAGTCAAATTATATCTTTGACAATTTCCCCCTACTTTTCTACATGGTGGGGGGAGGAGCGAAATTAGAATTAGACTGTCAATAATTGGTTTCTACTGAAGGACATTATGGGATTTCTGGCAAAGAACTTTGGGGAAATGGCTACTTAAGATATCAGATCATGCAGTCACTTCTATTAAATAACAAGGAGCACTTGGTCTGTGTTATTAAGAGCAAACAGAGTCATACTCAAAGGATAGCACTCATGAGGAAGTTGAATATTCTCCAACTGTGTCTACCAAGCGTACTGGCTGTGAGAGCTCCATTGCATGTCCAACAGGTAAGACTCTAGCTATCATTTTTCTTATTCTGTTAACGTGTTGAAGGAATGCAGAAAACACACGCACAGCGTTTCATCTTGTTGATTGGTGGTTTGTTCATGTTCCCTGAAATTGCCATTCTCACTTTCTCCTCCACCATGTGTTTCACTATCCTTCATCCTCCTCCCTTTTCACTGTGAAGTAGTAAGCATGAAGTAGAAGTGGGCAGTTTTATACTGAGGAGGGGAGGAAATCAAATTTCAAATTATTAAGACAATCAAAGAGAGTGTCACAAACATGCAAAAAACACACACCCAGAGTTGTAGAAAACTGGTAACAAAACACGTACTTGAATACTGTACTGTCATGGTAGAAAACCTCAGGTTGTTTCTGTAATATGAGAATTCTAAAGGAATAAAGCGAACATTATTAGCTTTATTGGTTGCAGGGCAATGATTAGCAAAAGGAGACTAATGGTGCAGTCCTGTGCTTGGCTAACCACTCAGCTCAGTAACTGCTGTTTAAGTTCACTGGGACTTACTCCCAAGATAAGTGAGTATTGGATTGCAGTATATGGTTGCAATCCTATACAACAGCCGTTGCCAGCTGGGTTCTCTCCAGATTTTTTGGAATATAGCTCCAGCCCACACTGATGGAAGTTGTGGTCCAAAACACCGGAAGTGCACTTAGTTGGCGAAGGCAGCTGTACCCCCTTACCTGGAAAGAAGTTTAATTAAACTCAATAATATTTGCTTCTGAGCAGACATGCATTGGATTGCACTGTGAACTTCTCCAAAAGCGCTTCTATTTATTATGCTATGTTTGGATGTGTGTATTGATAATAATCTACAAATAGGTTTTTTGATAAAAAGGAAATGACTTATTTATATATTAAGCATATTTAAGTACTCTGTGGGTGGTAGTTTGATTTTTACCCCTTTTCATACACCATGGATTCAGTAAACATGTGCCTTCATGTAAGAGTGTGTAGTAAGAAGGAAGGGGGAATGGTAACCCAGGGCCAATTTGGAATTGTGGAATGGTTAAGAGTGTCTGCACATGCGCATTTAGTGCTCCATTTTTGCACATCCTCGCCAGTTTTTGCAAGTAGGGGCGCAGGTAGCACTGTGGGTTAAACCACAGAGCCTAGGAGTTGCTGATCAGAAGGTCGGCAGTTCAAATCCCTGCGACGGAGTGAGCTCCTGTTGCTCGGTCCCTGCTCCTGCCAACCTAGGAGTTTGAAAGCACGTCCAAGTGCAAGTAGATAAATACAGTGGTACCCCGCAAGACAAACGCCTCGCAAGACGGAAAACCCGCTAGACGAAAGGGTTTTCCGTTTTGGAGACGCTTCGCAAAACGAATTTCCCTATGGGCTTCCTTCGCAAGACGAAAGCCCATAGGGAAATCTCTGGGACAGGGCGTCTTGCCCACTGTCCTCGGACCTCCTCCCGCCGCCAGGCTTCGGAAGGCTGCTCCGAAGCCTGGCGGGGGCGGAGAGGTTTTTTAAAAACCCCGGGACAGCGGAGGACTTCTCCGCTGTCCGGGGCGATTTTAAAATGCTGCCGGGCGGCAGCGCTGCCGCCCAGCAGCATTTAAAAAAACCCCGGGACAGCGGGGGACTTCTCCTTTGTCCCGAGGTTTTTTAAAATGCTGGCGGGCGGCAGCGAAGGCTTTGCTGCCGCCCGCCAGCATTTTAAATTCGCCCCGGACAGCGGAGAAGTCCCCCGCTGTCCCGAGGTTTTTTAAAATGCTGGCGTCTTCCCCTTTCTCCCCGGACCTCTTTTGAAGCAAGGGGCGGCAACGCGGAGAAGCGATCTTCTCCCCGTTGCCGCCCCTTGCTTCAAAAGAGGGGACAGAGGGAAAGGCGCGCGCCTTCCTCTCTCTCCCCGGACCCCTCTTGAAGCAAGGGGCGGCAAAGGGGAGAAGCGATCTTCTCCCCGTTGCCGCCCCTTGCTTCAAAAGAGGGGACAGAGGGAAAGGCGCTCGCCTTCCTCTCTCTCCCCCCGGACCCCTTTTGAAGCAAGGGGCGGCAAAGGGGAGAAGCGATCTTCTCCCCGTTGCCGGCCCTTGCTTCAAAAGAGGGGACAGAGGGAAAGGCGTGCGCCTTCCTCTCTCTCCCCGGACCCCTTTTGAAGCAAGGGGCGGCAAAGGGGAGAAGCGATCTTCTTCCCTCCGCCCCTTGCTTCAAAAGAGGGGAAGGCTGGCGGAGGGCGAAAATCTTTGTCCCCCCTGGCTGCCTTCCCGGGAGGGCTTTTAAATCGCCCCGGACAGTGGAGAAGTCCTCCGCTGTCCGGGGCGATTTTAAAATGCTGCCGTGGGGGGGGAG